CTAAAGATGATTACAACCACCTAAAAAACGCAATCACTTCTATTTATAAAAAAGCCGCTCCAAAACTAATGAACGTAGTAAATAAAGAAGGTAAACAAATTTTAAAAAATCATGATATTTTTAATAGAATCGAGATAAACGGAACTGCTGATTGTTTTATAACTTTAAAAGACCATAAAGCCAACTTCCTAAACAACCCTACTGTGCGTCTTTTAAATCCTGCAAAGAATGAGGTAGGAAGACTGTCAAAGCTTATTTTATCCAATATCAACTCGGAATTAAGAACCAGACTCTGTTTAAACCAATGGCAAAATACGCAAAATGTAATAAATTGGTTCCAAAAATTGATGATAAACACCTTTGTAAATTTTTAGTATTTGACATAAATGATTTTTATCCGTCAATTGATGACAAAATACTTAATAACGTTATTACTTTTGCCGAACAACATATAACAATAGACGAGCAAAGCAAATCCATTATACATCATGCAAGAAAATCTTTCATTTTTAACGGTGGCATATCATGGATTAAGAAAAAAGCAGGATTGTTTGATGTTACCATGGGAGCCTATGATGGCGCGGAAATTTGTGAACTAGTTGGAATTTTTATTTTAGATCAACTTTCGCAGTTTTACAACAAAAATGATTTCGGTCTATATCGGGATGAGAGGTTAGCTGTTTTCAAGAACAAAAATGGCTATCAAATGAATCAAATAAAAAAACGTGTCGTTCAAGTTTTTAAACGTAACAATCTCAATATCTCTATCAACTGTAATCTTAAAATTGTTAACTACCTTGATTTAACTTTTAATCTTACTCAAAATTCATTCCAACCATACTGCAAGCCTGATAATAAGCTAAGTTATGTACATGCTGATTCTAACCATCCACCTAACATAATAAACAATCTTCCAAAAAATATCGAGCTAAGATTGTCCGCCAACTCATTAAGTGAAGTTATTTTTAATAAGTCGACACACCTTTATGAAGACGCACTAAAGCAATCAGGATATGATTATAAGTTGGCATATAAACCAAGTATAACAAATGATCCAAAAAATCACCACAAACGAAGTATAATCTGGTACAACCCTCCATTTAGTAAAAATGTTACAACCAAAATTGGTCAACGCTTTTTAACCCTAATTGACAAGCATTTTCCTAAAGACCACAACCTACACAAAATATTTAACAGAAACACTATTAAAATAAGCTACTCCTGCATGCCAAACATTAAATCTATCATCAACTCACACAACAAAAATAGTTTATATGGTGATGTAAAGATATCAGAAAAAACCTGCAATTGCATTAAAAAATCTCTTTGTCCACTGAACAACAATTGCTTGTCTAACAACATTGTTTACCAAGCCACCGTAAGCTCAAATAAACCTCAATACAAAGATAAGGTATACATTGGGATAAGCGAAACCTCTTTTAAACTACGTTATGCAAACCATCTAAAATCCTTCAACATAAAAAAGTACAAGAACGACACAGAGTTATCTAAGGAAGTATGGGATAACATAACATAATAAGATAACAATTTTACATCTTCAATCAAATGGAATATAATTAAACGCTGTAAATCATACAATCCTGCGTCAAAAATTTGTAAGCTTTGTTTAAATGAGAAATTTGAAATATTATTTTACAAAGGAGATAATCTACTAAATAAAAGAGGCGAAGTAGTTTCAAAATGTAGACATAAAAATAAATTCCTTCTTTCATTATTTGATAGCGGAGATTAGTTTTCCATTACGTCTTCTTGACTAAGACGTCAGAACTCATTCTACTGTAGTTTGTAATTTTTAAACAGTTTTTTATGTTTTTGATTTTGTACTTCATGGCTGATGATTGCCGATAGGCATGAAACTTTAAGTTCCATTAAAAGTTGTTTTTTCTATATTTAAGTATATATATATATATATATATATATATATATATATATATATATATATATATATATATAATATACATATATAAATATATATATATATATATATATATATATATATATATATATATATATATATATATATATATATATATATATATATATATATATATATATACATTTTATCAAAATATATTTTTAAAACATGCGCAGAGCGTTACTACAACAGCTATCTTATAGCCTGCTACTACAAGGGAATGCTGCTAGATCGACTATCTTATAGCCTGACAAGCAACGGAGTGTTGCTACATCGACTATCTTATAGCCTGACTCGCAACGGAGTGCTGCTACATTGACTGATAAATAGTCTGACTCGCAAGGGAGTGCTGCTACATTGACTGAGGGTTTGCTTTTGGCAGGCAGTCTATCATTTAAGAAAAAATAAACTTTTTTAACTTTATATATATATATATATATATATATACATATATATATATATATATACCTATGCT